ATTCTCAGAAAAGTAAATTTACTTTTCTGAGAATGCTTAGGCCAGCAGAGAAGGCCTTGCTGGCCCTCAGGGTCCGCCACTGCTTAATTACTTTAATATGTAATGTCAATTTATATCGACGTCTTTGGCTGTGTCCATGAATTCTGGGAGACCAACCACATCCATGCCTTGTGAGTGGTTTCCAAAGCGAGAAAAATTGCTGAAAAAAAGTTCCACCTGACTGCCAAAACACTGGAAAACCTTTTTATTTTTAAAGTAAACTTTTATACAGAAAAATACATCTTTTTTAAAAATGTGCCTCTGACAAGATCCAAACAACGTCGGGGTGGTAGGTGGATCCCAAAAATTGAGACTTAGATAAATAGCGATACAAAAATATTTATTTAAAGAAAACCAAGAGACCGACAAAGTAAAAACAGAAATCGCTGGCCACCAACAGCCAGGAAAACCCATAGAGAACGAAAAGCACTTGCAACCGGCAAGGAGAAATTGAAAACCGAAAACCCTCAAAATGAAATGACAAGAGTCCACACACACGAACTTAAAGCGAGTCAAAAATAACTTGGCAAAAAGGATACTGACAAAACAAAAAAACTATCAAGGCAAAAGTGAAGATGTACGATACAGGGGGTCGACACCCCGAGGCTCCAGAGCCGCATGCGGCTCTTTAGCGCCACCCTAAAGTCTCCCCGGAGCTTTTTCCAAAATGTTTGAAAATGGAAGGAAATATATTTTTTGTTTTAATATGGTTTCTGTAGGAGCAAAAACACGACACAAACGTTCTTAACGTTTTCCAATGCTGTAAAAATGTGTAGAATAAATTTCAACATTTCTGTCAACGAGGATTTGCGTCATAGCCTGCGACACATTTCTATGGGCAGGGCGGGATGCCAGGCAGGTGGCTGTTGCAAAAAAAAACATTAAAAAAAAATCAGCGTTTCGTGTGCAATTCACCGAGTGTACCGGCAAAGAATGGGAATCTGGAGGGCTGAGAGAAGCATTTTAAAACGGCAGACGTGAGCTACGACAGTTAACACGCTGCAAAAGTGCGTCAGGTCTCGACGAAGGTCGGTCGGCATTTGTGTGTAAGTGGGTGCGTATGCGCCCGTGTGCAGTAACGGGTCGGTTGATCGAAAATGAAATCTTCGGTCAAAAAAGGTTGGGCACCCTTGCTCTACAGGATGCAGTGCTTGATTAAAAACATTTAATCAGGGAGGCTCATTGTGTATTTGTAGGCAACTTAGTCATTTTGATAGGAGACTAATATAGATACATACAGCATGTGTTTCCTTCATGATACGTCTTAAAGAAGGCTTTTATTGTTTTGCGGCTTCAGACATATTTGTTTTTTGTATTTTTTTGTCCAATATGGCTCTTTCACCATTTTGGGTAGCCAACCTCTGTACTATACTATACTGCAGTGATTCCTAACCTTTATTGACCCAAGGCACATATTTTAAGTTCGAAAAATCACGCGGCACACCACCAAACAAAATTGTCACGAAAAGAGGATTCAGATGTCAATTTCACACTTTTTGCCATCTAAGAGAAGATCATTTGTTCTTTCTGTCACTACACAAGTCGATGGCATATATAGAGGGACAAAGATACATTCTTTGTAATTAATTAATAATTTTCTCTCCAATGAAGTAAAATTTGATAATTTCCCGCGGCACACCATTAGAGCTCTTTCGGCACACTAAGGTGCCCCGGCACACTGGTTGGGAATCACTGCTATACTGCATACAAGTTGCCCTCAATGCAATGATTTGTAAGGTCCAGCAGTTCCGTATTGAGGACCAGAGTGAGACACTATCAATACAGTTTGCCCAATGTGCCCACAATGCATCACACGTGGTAATGAAAGATGACTCCTCTCCGACTTCATCCTCAAAGAGGCAAATCTGAGTACATATATGTCCCTGCCTAGGACCTGTTTGCCCTGGATGATCCTACCAGAGGCATCAAATCCCGGACAATTTCGCTCCAAGTGTTCCGAAAATGACATCGCCGTGAAATTGGATCCCAAAAAAGCATAATCAAAATACCAATTGTACAAAATCAAGTTTGTGAAATAAAAGGGGCCCATTAAACACAAGTACAAACAAAAGAAGCGACACGACAAAAAAGTCAATGCAAAACTAGAATTGTACAGTAAAGTACAACCAAAGGTAATGACAAAAAGAAAAAAAAAAGTTAAGTTTCTGGCATGTGATGACCCTTTGCTTCCTCATACTTGTAGTTGTGCTGTTAGCGGCCGCGTCATTGCTGTATGCTGTCCGGCTTGTCCTGGTGATTTGGCGCCACTGCAAGCAGCCGCTCTATAATGGCGTCAGCCCGCAGGCCGTGGAGCCAATGGAGCCTGCCAACCACCAAAAATGGGCACTCAGATGAACACCTCTTCATGTTGTCATTGAAAAAAAACTGTCACGGCAGTGTGTTGTTTTGCACACGCTGTAAGACTCATGTGTAAATGATGTATTTTTCCGTACAGTGTTAATAATTTACGCAAGATGACTATTCGATTATCTATTCGTATGCCTGGTTGATCTCTCGCAGACTGATCTCTGAACCTTTTATCGGGCTTGCCTGCTGATTTCAGCTTCAAATGATCATATAAGTCTTGATGCCATTCATGTGCAAAAAATAGACTCCAACATCACACATTTCTTGTGCTTGTATATTTATTCGGAAATAATGTCTGTGCATGATACAAGCTGTTTTTAAAATGCAGTTTTGGCTGTGACTGAAAGAAAGGCAATACAGGTACTTGTGTTTCATGGTTTATTTTATGTTAATTGTTTCCCATGACAATAATAAAGTGGTGTCACTTAGTTCCTCTTAGCTAATTAGCAGTCAAAAAAACAACAAGGCACATCAGCTATGGGAAGGCAGGGCAAGTTTATTTGAGATTTATAGACCAACAAGAAGATTTTAAAAAATATTCTTTGACTCAATGGAAGCCAGTGCATTGATGCGAAGACAGGTGTGATGTGGTCCAGTTTCCTGTTGTTTGACAGCACTCTGGCGGCAGCATTTTTGATCAGCTGCAGCTATCCGATTGCCCTTTTGTTTTTTTTAAATAAATCAAAACATGTTTTGACACCATTAAACTAATCTCGGCTTCTGAGAGTGACAAATAACCCTTAATTCGAGCTATTCTTTTAAGGTGCTAATAGGCATTTTGGTATTTGCTTTTAAGTGGATTTTTAAAATTCGGGTCTGAATCAATAATTACAAAATTTATGGCTTGATTCATAGCTTTGAATGACAGAGTTAAAGTGAGCGCTGATCTCGGACCTTTCATTATTGGGGACAAAACCAATCATTTCTGTCTTTTCTGGATTGAACTGGAGAAAATTCTACTCCATCCACTCATTAATTTGATGAATACACTCAATTAATGAACAAAATGAACTATAGTCATGTGAGGATGCTGAATGTGTGTGTCATCTGCATAAGAATGATAAGAGACTGTTGATGTTTTGAGCAAGGGCCAGCTATAAATGTGAAATATAAGTGGTCCAGGAATTGACCCTTGAGGAAACCTGCATGTAGCGATGGGCTAATGAAGCCATGTGAAGCTTTTGAGGCCTTTGTCATATTCATTTGGAAAAAAAAAAGTAAAAATGCTCAAAGCCAAATAAAATATATGACACAAGTGTGTGTGTGTGTGTGTGGGGGGGGGGGGTCTCTGTGTGCGTGTTATTAATATTCTATATTTTTGTGTTAGTGCACACTGCACCCTAAGCATCCTCTCAGTTTCACTTTCACAGAAAAAGTATTTAAAAAAAAAAAAAATAAAGCAGGTCACCTTTAACCTATGGCGGCGCGTGACCCGCATCACCGGAAGTTATTAGCGGTCATCAGTCTGCAATTGCAGCTTGCGATCACAGCTGTTGACTTGTATCTTTTTTATTTTCATTCAAAATATGGAGCGCCAAGAGAGGCATTTTAAAATGGTACACGTGAGCTACATGAGTGAGTGTGTTGCACTGAGGATGCTGCCAAAGCGTGTCTCATGCCGCCGCGTCAGGTCTCAACTAAGGTAGGCACGGATTCCTTTCAACAAACTCACAAGCTCTTGTTTGTATCCAGCCATCTCGTTACCTCCGCGTCCCGCGTCCTAGACGCGTAATTTTCCTGCGGGACGCACAGTTCCAAATAATGTGTGTTTCTGGGACGCAAAGAAATTTCTCAGTCAAAACAAAAAAAAAACTACGGTACATCTTTTTTTCCAGCAACGATCGCAGTTTGACAATCGCCACTGTTGTTTTGATCTCGTATTAAGTAATCTCGCGTGACGAGATTTACGTTCTCGCAAGACGATTTACTTTGTCGCAAGACGAGATTGGCGAGTTGTGTAACGTTAAGGTAAGTGTTGTGAAAGTTTATTGCAGAAATATCACAGAGGAAGCAGCTAAAGTTGGAGTTTTTTTGCGAAAATAAGTTGACTTTGAGAAAGCATCATTGGGAGCAGAGGAAATCACAAAGGTGTTAACTTCTGGGTGAGAGGACGCTGGCGTGTATGTCGCCGCTTCTCACTCCAAACTTTCCAAACTTTTCGAAGCTCAGATATTCCTTCAGATTTTTCTTTTGCTCTTCTGTTTTGGACTATTTGGACTGTGGGCACTGTGATTGATGTAACCTGAATCATCGCTTCACCCGACCAATCAAACCCCAATCGTAACTTAGTCCACGGGCTAACGCCGGTAGCTTAAACTTACCAGCTGTCACCACACCGGCCTTTCTCCCTCGTCATGGGGCGCCAAAACATCGCTGCCTTTGGATTATTCCTGATACTCCTGACGTTCTGCCATCATCCAGTGACAGGACTGCTCCACTATT